TTGTCCAGCTGTTTACACTATCTACCCATTAGTCACTGTTTTATCAGAAGAAAAAACATAGTACTATGTATAGGGTTCAGTACTATCGCGTTTTCAGGCATTCACTGAGGGTCTTGGAACATATCCCCAAGGATAAGGGGGAACTAATGTATGCGCCTTGGTAGAATTTGTCTGTAAAACCATCTTTTACTAGTTTTTTTTTGTGCAAAGCATTTAAACTACTGATTAAAATTTTAAAATGGTAACATTAGGTTTTATACTTCTTTTTAAGCCAATTTTGGCAAAATATATTTTTCTGGGAATTTATCCATTTTATTTAGGTTTTAAAATTCATTGTGATAAAGTTGCCCATAATATTCCTTATTATTATTATATTTTTTTTGGAGACAAAGTCTGGCTCTGTTGCCCGGGCTAGAGTGCCGTGGCGTCAGCCTAGCTCACAGCAACCTCAAACTCCTGGGCTCAAGCGATCCTCCTGCCTCAGCCTCCCAAGTAGCTCGGACTACAGGCATGCGCCACCATGCCCGGCTAATTTTCTCTATATATTTTTAGTTGTCCAGCTAATTTCTTTCTATTTTTAGTAGAGACGGAGACTTGCTCTTGTTTAGGCTGGTCTCGACTCCTGAGTTCAAACGATCCTCCCGCCTCAGTCTCCCAGAGTGCTAGGATTACAGGCCCGGCCCCTATTATTTTTTAATCTCTACCAAGGGTGGGGAACTGCAGCCTCCAGGCCACATGTGGCCCTCCAGATTCCCAACTGTGGCCCCTCGGCCAAATCCAAACTTCACGGAACAAATCCCTTTATTAAAATGATTATTTTTCGTTTTTTTCTTTAGCGATCTTCCTAGAGGTTGGTCAATTTCATTAATTTTCAAATACTTTCATGGGCATATTTTACTTTCAATGTCTGTTTAATTTCTACCCTTATCTTTAATATTTTCTTCCTTATACCCCCTTTGGGTTTATTCTACTGTTCCTTTTCTTTTTCTAAATTTATTTTTAATTTTTTTTCTTTGGAATTTTTCTAGCCACCTACTGATTCATTTTTCTAGTTGAACACTTAATATTAATTTTTAGCCTTTCTTCTCTTCTAGTATGAACATTTAAGGTCTAAATTATTTTCTAAAGGCCAATTTAGCTATCCGCCACAACAATGATAAGTGATATTTTATTACCATTCACTTATAACTGTTTTCTATTTTCTATTATAATGTCTTCTTTGACATCCAGGTTACATAAAAATGTGTTGTCTGATTTCCAAATGTGTAAGGATTTTTAGTTATCTTTGAAAAAACTGTAATTTCATTGTTGGCAATCTCCTATTTCCTTACCGAAGTTTTATCTGTTTAGTTAGACCTCCCCCATACTGTAGTTGTGTTTTTTGTTTTTTTTAATGCTATCTTGACCCAGTTTTGAGGCCCTGGTTGGAGGCCAGTCAGTTCCCCTTTTTAAGCAGCTAAGTCTGAATCCTAATCACTTATCAGGCCCTTGTACTTTGGGGCCACTATGCATTAGTCCTAGTAGCCCTGGGGCCGAGTACCACACACTAGGGACAGCCCCTTCGCTCTGAACGCACAAAATGATTCAAATTAGCCAATCGACAGAAAGCCCTTGAAACCTAACTAACCTCATGAGCTTGCCATACATAATCTGTCCCTAAAGCTCCGGCTTATTGTTACCTTGTACCTGGGTACGACCCCTGTGTAGCCCTGACTGGCAGGCTTCTCTCATTTCGAGCTGCAGATAACAGGTTTGACACAAAACCTTGAATGCTTAACCACCACAGCTCTGCAGCTGAGTCCTATGGTGCTCCTGGGAAGGTTTGGGGAGTTTATGGCTTCCGATTTTAGATATGCTGGTCCCTATAGTTTGGTGTGGCACGTGTGACCTGGGGAACGGACCTTGATGTCTTTGGCTTTGAAATAAGGTTTTGTACACCAGGGGGCGCTGTAGTCTCATGTTACGATTTCTTCCTTGGCGGCCTGTGCTGTGTGCCGCCAGGGTTTGGGGTAGGCTTTGCGTTGAGTCTTTTTTGTTGCTCCTCTCTGCTCAGGTTTCAGAAATTAAGCCCAATGGAACATGGTGTCCGTGAAAATGTCAGGAGCGTGGGTGTAGCCCCGAGTGTATCTGACTGTGTTGCCTTTAGCACGCCACATCCACTCTCTGGGTTCCTATTTCTCCATCTATGAAATGGGCATTACTGAAAAATTGATCCTTTTTGAGAGGGTGAGATCTTTTTTGGGGAGATGTTTAGTTTTGAAACTCTTACAGAAAAGAAACCTATTTGGTGTTTCTCCAGGACAGTAATGTCGTTACTTTGCCAACCTGAAGACTAACTTTCTCCAGGGCAGTAGTAACATCCGCAACTTGGAAACCTGAAACTTGTGTTTAACATGAACACTGATTTGAGCATTGAGTGTGACCTACTAAGTCTAAATTAAAATATTTCCTGGGGTCAGGCACGGTGGCTCACACCTGTAATCCTAGCACTTTGGTAGGCCAAGGCAGGAGGATTGCTTGAGGCCAGGAGTTCAAGACCAGCCTGAGCAACATAGCAAGACCCAGTTTCTACAAAAAATAGAAAAATTAGCTGGCTGTGGTGGCGCATCCCTATAGGCCCAGCTACTCAGGAGGCTGAGCCAGGAGGATAGCTTAAGCCCAGGAGTTTGAGGTTGCAGTGAGCTCTGATGACACCACTGCACTCTAGCCAAGGCAACAGAGCAAAATCCTGTCTTCATAAAAAAAAAAAAAAAAGAAAAAAATTTCTTGGGATTCCAGTAATGGCTAAGGGCAACATGCCGGGCTCAGCTATTTCAAGAAAGGAAGCTATTCTTGTGTATTTTATTCACCCTACTAATTTTCACTGCTAGGGCCACTGTTGAACACCTGTATGTACCAGGCATTATGCGAAGTGCTTTACAAACATTAGCTCATTTAATTCTCTCACATCCTCATGTATTATCAGAAAATTGAGGTTCACACAGCTAGTAAGAGGTGACACTGAGATCCAAACCCAGACCAAAGCGAGTGCTTTCAGCCAACACAGGCACTGGGGCTCACACTTCCTCATTCATGGAACCAGGGTGCTTGTCACATGGCCAGGTTCAGTCAAGGAGCACTAAGTGCCTTTCAGGGGATCATCTACAGACCCACATTGACCAACGATCACTTATGATGATTCGCACCTCTAAATGGCGTATGTTCTAGAACCTTAACACCCTGGTCCCAGGGAGTCTGGGAGATTTAGGCGATGCATTCAGATGAACTTGCCCGGGGCCGGCCAGGACATGGGCTTTCACACCCTTCACACTATGCCCCCCAGCTCTCTAACTTGCCCCTCTGAGTCTATAATTCCATGATAGAACCTTCTTCAGGCTCTGTGTTTCTGAAAATACATTCATTTTATAAATTACCCTGCATAATGGGCATAGATTAGCCGGTCAAATACACCTAGAACATTTTCACTGCAAATCTGTCTTCCAGAGGCTCGAGATGATATTAGTACTGGAAAGCCCCCCACAAGCACTGCGGTCAGGAGCTGTGTCTCACCTGCGGCCCGCCCAGCATGCCTCGACTTACCTGATCACGGGTCCCGGCTTCTCTTATGCAGAATTTCTATTAACGTGAACCTGCCTCCACAGCTCACACATGGGGAACGTGCTCTGGCTCAGTGTTTCTCAACCTCAGCACTGTTGACATTCCGGACCTGATAACTCCTTCTGTTGAGGGCTGTCCTGTGGATTGCAGAATTTTAGCAGCATTCCTGCACTCTACCCATGAGAAGCCAGTAATAACTCCCTCCCACCCCAAACTAGAATGCTCCCAGATATCGCTGTATGGCCACTGGGGGGCAGAGCACCCCAGTTGAGGACCACTGCTCTAACTCATGCATTCTCAGTTGAGGCTAGATTGCCCACAAGGAGGCAAAACTTGGTTCTTGGAGGGAGAAAAATATTCTTACTCTTTTTATGTATAAAGCACGGATATACACATGCTACGTAAACAGACACACAGTATGTCTGTGGTATTAAAATTTTATGAGGTGTTAAGAAAAAAACGTCTCAAAAGACTCCTTGAGGGGAGGGTGATCATGAAAATAAGCGTTGACTGACACTGTTCTAGCATAATTTTTTAGTTCCTATTTAGGCCAATTCCTCGGCAAGAACGAGGCTGGTCCGAGTGCAGTGGTGTTTACAATGAATTGATCACAACCAGTTCCAGATTCTTTTGTTCCTTCTCTACTCCCACTGCTTCGCGTGCCTAGCCTTAAAAATAAAATAAAAAAGAATGACATTTGTGGCTCCTTTAAGCTGAACCAAAGAGCTAAGCAATAGCAGACACACGGGGGAAAACATCTGGCAGCTGGTAAAAGGCTGAGGATACGAGAGACTTAGGGCTCATGGCAGCCCCTCAGCTCTGACTGCGACTAAACCAAAGACCCACACCACTGTCAGCGAGCTTCCACAATTTCCAAGCAGAAGGGGTGAGGGTGAGAGGTCTTCCTGTTGCAAAAGAGCTTAAAGAAGTTGCATCGTCATGTCGCTTCACACAAGACTGAGGACTATCAATTAATGAATCAAAGAACGTGGTTGGTTAACACCATCCGAGTCACTCACAGACACATACATTGAGACAAATTCTCTCTTGTCTATTCCTGAATATCCCTTTTCCTGAGTATCTCTGGCCTCCCCGCTCACTCAGGCCTGCTCAGTGCCCACTTGTTTGGAGAACGTTGCACATCTTGCCACTGCCCATCCATGCAGTGGTCATTGCTACCGCGTACAGCCAGTCAAAAGAAAAAGCCAAGAAATAAAATTCTAAAAATTAGAAATTTCTCTTTAAAAACTGACTTCGTTTTCTTTCTCAATCTAGCAAAAAGCAAACCTTCCCGGCTTTCGGTTTTGGGAAATGAATGAGTAAGAGTCACTCATTATCTGCTTCCTACTTCTGTCAAAAAACCCCACTTGAACTCAGCACAGATGGGTGCAGGAGAGAGCGGTGCTCACAGGAAGCCACACACCCTTCAAAGGCACCTGTCCTTCTTAGCACTGTGCTTCTTGATCAAGCCTGGCACTGCCTCACCGACCTTCCTCAGCGCCGTTTTCAGGAAAGCAAGGTAAGCAGGGACGTGGGCGTTCCCGGGGGCTCAGGTTGCACGCTGGTTTCCCAGCCTGGTGTGGACGCGGGGAAGCCTGAGCGCTGGCCAGCCGCTGCCCAGCCCGGACACTCCGGCCCCGCACCCGTCCGGGGCTCACAGCCGACACCTGTCTTGTGGCCCACAACACCCTCTACCTGTCTGTCCCCACACCTTCCGAGCCCCATCTGATAGGCATTCGCTTAAGTAGGGCTCCCCCTGCACACATCTAGCCTAAGTCCACATGCCCCAAATAAGCATAATTTTCATCAAAAATACACACTTTTCTGCCTCTTCCTTCTAGCACGACTCCCAGGCCAAGAAACACCACACATACAAGGCCTCCTAGGAATAACTCCAGACGTTTACCAGCTATGTTTCTTGTTTGCTTGTTCTCCTGATAATCTCCTAACTCCTCTGCCTTGTTTAGTCCTTGAATTTTCACTGGTAAAATGGTGGAGAAAGACTAGAATTGTTATACATTGAACAAAGGTTTTTGGAGACCCCGTGCTACAACAGGTCTTCAGCATCCATTGTAGGAATAAGTTAAAAATCTCTCTCTTGGGACCACACAGTTGGGGTGTTTGGGTGTGTGGTGGTGAGCGTGGGGGGCAGAGGGGATGTGAATTACTGAACAACGTGGAAAGGGTTTCAGTAACGACTGTTGGGGTGCCACGAGAGGGGGGGCCTTGAGTCAGCCATTCATCCCTGCATTGCTCGGATACACATATGAGCCTGTGATTAACTTTAAGAAGGGTTTAACCTCTTCATCTGCCAATTTTTTTTAGTTTTTAAAATTTATTTATATATATATATTTTTAAGAGACATGGTCTTGCTCTGTCACCCAGGCTGGAGTGCGGTGGCACAATCACAGCTCACTGTAACCTCAAACTCCTGAGCTCAAGCGAACCTCCTGCCTCGGCCTCCCAGGGTGCTGGGACTGCAGGCGTGTGCCGCCGCCGCACCCGGCCATCTGCCAATTAAGAAAGAAATAAAGGCAGTTGGTGGAGATGGAGATTTTGTTTCTGGCTACACTGTGCCTTTTCCAGATTCATCAGGCGCCTTCCCACTCCAATAGGATTCTGTGCATAGAATTGATTTTTATATCCAGTTTGATGAAAAGATCAAAAAGCTTTTTCAAATTTCCCAACTAATTATTGCAACTTTCCGAAAGGCATTGAAAATACATTTGCTGTATTAACATAAAATTGGCCCAGGAGCACCAGCCACCTGGAAGGCCGGGCCGTTCCCACCTGAGAGGGTGCTCTAGAGCAGATGCGGCGTGTGGCAGGGCTGTGCTGCAGCCAGCTTGCGCCACTGCCCAAGGACCGACTGGCACATAGACATTTTGTGAGGCAGTTGGTAGCTTGAGATTGGCCGTGGTGGGACGATTTACACCACAGAAACCAGCAAATGCTATAAATCAGAGCTTTGATCTGCCTGCCTCAGAGATCTGATTTACCAGCACATTACTGGGATTTGGGGCTCAAAGAGCAAATTCTACACACAGCTGTGTGGTCTTCAGAAGTCACTTAACCTCTCCGAATCTTTCATGAGGCATCTACAACAAGACACTGGCGTGGCTTAGAGAACAAGATTTTTGTTGGGTGTTGGGTAGGGACAGGAGCATGGGGATGGGGCTAAAGTCACCATGCTGTGAACATGCTTTGAGAATGTAAAGTGCAAAGCAAGCAGGAGGTTTGCAGTTTTCATATAAAGGCAGGCAGCAAACCTAGTTTCACTCTAACTGAATGAGATTACCTAAGCAGTTATGGAATTTTTGTAGTTACAATATGAAGCGGAAACATGTAGACTTTTAATCTCTTTTTTTAATGTCAGAAAGGCCCTGGGTGCAGTACTATTGGGAATATCAACTGATTTTGTCATCCCCAAAAGTGATTTCAGTAAGCCCAAACTACAAAATACCTTTTAGAAACATCCTTGAAAAACATCTCCTTGAAAAGGAGGTTTTACTGTCCTCACTTTACAAATGAGAGAACTGAAGCTCCCAGCAGAGGGGTAAGAAAATCATCGAGTGGCAGGGCTGGAATTTGAAACAAATCTGTCTGACTGCAAAGGCCAGGATTATTGCATTTGCGGCCCAAAGAGCAAGGGCCCTGTGAGGAATCGAGCCCTTTGTCTCGTGAAGGGCGTGTAATAATCTGAGGCAAGACGGTATGCAGCTTGCTCTGTTTAGCACTATTATGATTTATTTTTGTTCCTACAGAAATCTTGTCTGCTCTTCCCCTCATTAGTTTCTTCTGGTTGGGCCCAGACCTGCCTTGAAGAGGCTGCAGGGTTAAAGAATGGACCCCACGGATGTAGCCGACACCACACTGGATGAAAGTATATACAGCAATTACTACCTCTATGAAAGTATCCCCAAGCCTTGCACCAAAGAAGGCATCAAGGCATTCGGAGAGCTCTTCCTGCCTCCCCTCTACTCCTTGGTCTTCCTGTTTGGTCTGCTTGGAAACTCCGTGGTGGTTCTGGTCCTGCTCAAATACAAGCGGCTCAAGTCCATGACTGACGTGTACCTGCTCAATCTTGCCATCTCGGATCTGCTCTTTGTGTTTTCCCTCCCTTTCTGGGGCTACTATGCTGCAGACCAGTGGGTTTTTGGACTAGGCCTGTGCAAGATTATTTCCTGGATGTACTTGGTGGGCTTTTACAGTGGCATATTCTTCATCATGCTCATGAGCATCGATCGGTACCTGGCAATTGTGCATGCAGTGTTTTCCCTGAGAGCGAGGACCTTGACCTATGGGGTCATCACCAGCTTGGCTACGTGGTCAGTGGCTGTGTTTGCCTCCCTTCCTGGCCTTCTGTTCAGCACTTGTTATACGGAGCGCAACCACACCTACTGCAAAACCAAGTACTCTGTCAACTCCACGACATGGAAGGTTCTAAGCTCCCTGGAGATCAACATTCTGGGACTGGCGATACCCTTGGGGGTCATGCTGTTTTGCTACTCCACGATCATCAGGACTTTGCAGCACTGTAAGAACGAGAAGAAGAACCGGGCGGTGAAGATGATCTTTGCCGTGGTGGTTCTCTTTCTGGGGTTCTGGACACCTTACAACATAGTGCTCTTCCTGGAGACCCTGGTGGAGCTGGAAGTCCTTCAGGACTGCGCCTTTGAAAGATACCTGGACTATGCCATCCAGGCCACAGAAACCCTCGCTTTTGTCCACTGCTGCCTTAATCCAGTCATCTACTTCTTTTTGGGGGAGAAATTTCGCAAGTACATCATACAGCTCTTCAAAACCTGCAGGGGCCCTTTTGTGCTCTGCCAATACTGTGGGCTCCTCCAAATTTACCCTGCCGACACCCCCAGCTCATCTTACACGCAGTCCACTGTGGATCATGATCACGATGCTCTGTAAAAAAGGAAAATGCAAAGCACAGAGTCAATAAGCTTCCCACATGCAGAGCTTACTTAAAATTGTATTTTAGTAAGAGATTCCTGAGCCAGTGTCGGGAGGAAGGCTTACTCACCCTGCAGTCAGCTTTTCTCTCCCAGTGGACAAGTTCAGCCTGACAAGGGTCATCTGGACTGAGGCGTCCTTCCTTGCACAGGCTTGCCTGCAGGGATAAGTCAGTCAGAGGAGAATTCTGAGCAGTGTCTCAATGAGTATGTAGATAATATTGCAAGAGAAAGACCATTCCATTCTAACCTGAACTGATGGGCTTCTCCAAAGAGAATCGCAGAGCATTGACTGACAGAGTAAATTGCTACCTTCTGCTGTGAAAAATGTTTCCTGTAATTAATTTCTGGCTTTTGTAGAACAGCATAGAAAATTTTTATGTGCTGTCCTAGTGTTTTTATAATATATCTGGGGCATGTTCTATTCCATGGAGTCAGA